AAAAATATATTAATTCAGTCTTACGTATATATTAGTAGGTATGTGTTTAATATTTTTATGCATAAAAGAATCACAATTATTTGATCCAATAATAAATAATAACGATTATGTATTTCGCAATTAATTGAAAAAATGTATCTCACTTTTATCAAATACAATATACGTGGCATTAGGCGTATCCTAAAAAAATAATGTCTCTCTGCCACGCATACCTCGCTTATTATGTTTCGCCGACCTTGTCCGCGAGAATCCATCGATTTAAAAATCGATGAATAATGCACGCCTTGCATTCTCTTGAGAGTAATAATTTCAAGTGATTGCTGAGATCAAAACAAATATTTTGTCCGTTATTTATTATTTAAGTATTTATTATTTAAGTAATTTATTATTTAAAAAAAGCATTGTATTCCTTCTGCATTGTATTCTTCTCCGAATAATTTGAAAGTAATTTTAAATCCCCGCAAATGAGAATGGATTGAAATGAATTGGAATGGATTCAGCTTTTCAGAAATATTCACGAATGTTAAAATGAATGCTTTTCAATCCTGAATGCATTTTTATTCATTTATAGAAATTGCATGAAGCATATCTCTATGCCTTTCAATTTAAAAATAATATTAACTTTTTCTGTGCAACACACACATTGTGAATACTGTTCAATTCAAAATTTTGAATAGGAAATGAATAGGAAATGTTTTTCCATCCAATTGCATCCAAATCTAATTGAATCCAATTAAATCCAATTAAGTCCAAAAAAAATATTTGCTATTTTAAAATACGTATTCAGAGAGAAAAAAATTTCAATCCATTTTGATCTATTCTCGTTTATTGAGATCTCATTCTCATTGCAGATTGATAATCTTATTAAATTGAAACACATCAAAATAAAACTAGAAAAAAGTTAAACTCTAAAAAATTTATTACAAGAATTAGTGAAGAATTTAAAAAATTGAATGTGTGGAGACGCAGGCGTATAATTGCATACATGGAAACTCAGGTATACATGTACTAAGCAGAGCAGGGATGAGCTCGCGATCAGCTGATCGACACAATGTGTTGACCAGTGTTGACTCATTGACTATTGAGAAGAAGGCGTGTCATTAAGCGGAGTAGTGAACGATGTAGTCGTAGAATGCCAGCTGTACGTAAATATAAGAAATTGGCCAGTCAAGAGCTCGCGCTCTCAATCTCTCGAGCAGACTGGAGTGGACAGACTGGATCAAGGTAAAAGATGTTTTGTAGTAGTTGAGTCTCTACCTATGTTTAGGAAGATCGTCGAATGCCAGGTGTGATCTCTCAAACGACGTTCGTGCCAGACTTCTACCTGCGCCAGAGATGCTTCGACCACGGCTTTTCAAAATTACGCATGTCAATTCGCTTGTAAATTCTATTGCTCGCTTACGATCAGGATATTTCTAAATCTCGTGCATCTTTCATAAGTATTGCTTCCTACAAGGAAATACGTGTTCAGTGCGAGAAGCTTTGTTCACCTGTAGGATTGCGAGCAGGAAAATTTGTATCAACGGTAAAACGTGCGCAATATGCATGCATAACGTTTAAACATTTACATATTTGGATTCATTTATTTATACGATAATATAACGCGTTGATTTGTATAATGAAACAATTATTTATATTGCACGTTATGCGTATTTCTTTACTTTATGTATACTTTTTATAATTCGTGTTTCGTTGTCCATCAGGGAAAAATCATGTCATACTCTATCAATAGAAGACCCTTATTGGGAGGTGCGACTGACAGCGAATTTGAGGATGATTTGGAGACTGAAGTGGATGATCCTAACATCACAATTCCAGACGAGAAACCATTTTTTAAATCATATGAGCCACATGACAAGTACGTCTCACTATTTGAATTTAATTTGATAGTTATTTATTAATATATAAAATCCATTTCATAATCTATACCTGTAAATTTTTGCATATTTTAGATATAATCTTGCGTACATTGTGTTTTACTTACTTGGTATAAATACATTAATACCATGGAGTTTTTTTATCACTGCTGACGACGTAAGTGACATTTCTTTGCTTTTTTTCTCTTTGCTCAGAATACAGTTGTCTATATATCTTTTTTCAGTACTGGATGTATAAATTTAGAGAAATTCATAATAATTCGACAAATCTTACTCATACGTATGCAGAACTACTCGAACAGAAGACGGATCTTCAAGCTAGTTTTACTTCTTATTTAAGTGTAGCCAGTGCAATACCAAATACTCTGTTTTTAATACTGAATGCATTTATTAGCAAGAAGTGAGTAAAAAAATCATTGCTAGAAAATAATAGACAAGTATATGTTTTAAAAAATATATGCTATACATTTAAAATTACTACATATTCTTCATTTTATTTGTACGACTACATTCGTCTTTAAGATTCGAATAATTAAGAGTTCTATACAAGAGAATACTTGATGTATTTTATGCAGTATACATCAATTCTTATTTAAATTCTTTTATAATACATAGATCAGGAAAATAATTAATAACTTTACATTATGTATATTATAAAAAAGTAGAAGCGATATTTAAAGTTTCTAAATTTCCAGAGTCTCTCTAACTATAAGAATGGTGGGTTCTCAATGTGTAATATTGTTGCTCTTCATCTTGACGACTGCATTTGTGGAAATGAATACTGATAAATGTAATTCAACAAGTTATTTTATCATTACATTAATTTATCATATTAATTAGAAATACTTTTATTACTTCAGAAATAAAATAAACCATTATTTTCAGGGCAAAATGCATTTCTGATAATTACTTTGACAACAGTTGCGCTTGTAAATGGTGCGTATGTTATTAAATAATTAAATGTATGATGAAGATGTGCCAGTAATTAAGCTTGTGATAAGATAACAATAATATAAACTTTTAGCTGCGAGTGCAATTTTTGGAGGAAGTTTAATGGGTATAGTGGGCAAGTTTTCGCCAAAATACATAACCGCTATGTCCGGTGGGCAAGCTCTTGGTGGAATATTCACGGCTCTAGCGGAAGTATGTTCCTTATGGATAGGTGCCAGTCCAGTACTTTCTGGCTTAGTATACTTCATTATCGGCGATACCATGTTATTATTATCGTTAATCGCATACATCCTTTTAGAGAAAGCGGTGAGTCAATTCCGTTCAAACATATCTCGGGGCATTAATTTATTATCTTACTGCGTTTTCTTTAATCCGATCAATGACTATATCACGCAAAACAATGATATCATTAACGCTTATTGTTTTGTTCATTAAAACGATGATGCATGTAGCACAAGTGTTTTATAAATATATGGTAAGCTTCTTATGATAATAAACATACATGTATCATTATTGCACGATCTATTGAAAAAGAATAAATAGAGTAAATAAATAGTCAAAATAAGTGATATAGGATTCTTTTTTTTTTTTAGTACAGCATTCCTAACTAAAATTTTTTCACGAACATTTTCGTTAATTAGATTTATAGAATTTAGTCTAAGAATCGCTGCTCTACAACGTTTTTTTCTTGCAGCCATTCTTCAAGCATCATATGATAGAAAAAGTACCTGAATTAGATTCAGATTATTCCATAAATAGAGAGGTTAGCTTCTCGACAAATCCGAGCGTGTCTTACACACGGATTATAAAGAGAATCTGGCATTACGGCATTAGCATATTTTTAATATTCTTCATATCACTAGCTGTGTATCCAGCCGTCACTGTGCTAGTAGAGAGTGAATACAAAGGCAAAGGTCATGCATGGAACGGTAATCTTAAATTTATCTTAATTTTATGTACTACAATGCTTTAAAGATTTCGATCAATACAAATTGTATGTGAGTATAATTTGAAATGACTTTTCAGACATATATTTTGTACCTGTGGTTACGTACCTTATCTTCAGTACAGGCGATTATGCAGGAAGAGTATTATGTGGTATTCTTCAATGGGTGAGAATGTACATTTTAAGAAAGAATTTATCATCTACAAACTCATTTATACGATGTTTATCAAGTTTTCATCATTGCAGCCAAGAGGCAAGCCATGGCTCGTAATATTTTTGAGCGTCGCTAGAGGTATTTTTATACCTGCACTTATGTTTTGCAATGCGCAACCGAGGCATCATCTACCCGTTTATATTCACAGTGATATATATTATATCTTGATAACTATTGCATTTGCCGTAACTAATGGCTATCTCTGTAATTTAACATTCATTCTCGCGCCCACGTAAGTAGTGTTTAACAATAAAACATTCGTTAATTGCAAGAGATTATTTTCTAATTGTATGTATTGATTTTACAGAATCGTAGATAATCAGGAAAAAGAAATTGCGTCTGCAATGATGGGTGCTTTCTTGGGTATAGGATTAGCATCTGGCGCTGCGCTCAGTTTATACATGGTGAAGGCTCTTTAATGTTCGATTCTTTTAACTGAAGAGAAATGTAAATAAGATACATCTCACTGCCCTTTGTACATTCGAAATCAAGTAAAATCTCGAGATTATTTTATGATTATGAGATTTTAAGCATTAGTATAAATCAATTCTCAATCATCATCTCATTGAATCACATTGCTGCTAATTTACGAGAATTCTTTTTTCTATGAAGAATTTTCTTGGGGCAGCTTTCTGGGGTTTTACTAAAGATCTGAATAAAGATCACATATAATTTTTATATGATTTTTATGTTTTTATGTGTGTGACTAGTTTTAAATTATCTATTTAATACAATTGCATGGCGCAATTTCGTATTTGACTGTTCAAGACATAATAATTGACGAGGTGTCAAATTACTAGAGATAGACAATGTTGATATTATATATAAATTTCATCATTTCTACAGATTTATATATAATTTATGTGATACATTTATTATATATATCTTAGGATAAAATGAATGTAATTCTACAAATGTTACGTGTATATATGACATCAAAAAGAAACAAATAGGTATAATACAAAGTATTTGAGATTCTATCATTGTAGATTATATTGAAGAGATTATGCATACATTTAAATATAGTATCTGCAATTTAAAAAGAAGTACAGATAGTAATTGATGCGACAAATGAAAAAGAGATATTAATGTGTATTAGATATAATAATAGTCTCATTACGTACAAATATGATCAATTTTATGTTAATAAATAAAATGCTTAATGATATTCACAGTTCTCTGTCTGTCCATGAAATAAAATCTTAAAAATTTATAAAATAAAATTATTACGATAAATAATAAGTTATGACTTAGAAATATTGTTATTATTTTTTGTCAACCAAAGTTTTAAGCAATAGCAAGTAACAAATTCACTTTAAATAGGCATTAATTAAATTTACTTTTCTTTTTCTCTCTTTCTGTATATTTATATAGTTTATAAGCTGGAAAACATTATAAATTAGATACAAAATCAAATCCTTTTTAAATAGTAAAAATGGCAACACTAATACATTTTCTTATGAAAAAAGAAGCTATTACGATCGCAATCTCGAATATACTGAAACTGAAATATTCTAATATAATTATTCTGATGACTAGATTTTGATTAAGCTTTAATTAATTTAAATGATTCGTAACAATTATGCTGTGCAAAAATGTATCAGTATAGTGCTTACAGATACAATTGTGATACAATTTAAATAATTTTATATATAAATATTTTTTTACGCGAATAGAGCTGTTTCGCATGAGAAATTTCAAAATAACAAAGTAATAAACATAATCACAAACATAAATAAAATGGCGCTCACTTATTGGAGCAGGCACGTGCCTCATGATCGACGATATTGTCGTTCCTTGTCAGTGAGAGGAACAAATACCACGCTTATAAGAGATCGCTGCTTGATTTTGCCGTCCAGAGTCTTGTCGATCTGCACTAAAGTTTGATCTGAATTTTCTGGACCCATAGGTACTATTAAACGTCCACCAGGTGCCAATTGATCTATCAACTATAAGAAGGAAAATATTGTAATGTTCATTCCAACATATCTGACAATAATTCCAAAAATTCCTTTTTTTACCGATTGCGGCATTTCTTTGGCGGCCGCTCCCACATGAATAGCATCGTATGGTCCGCGATTTGGATATCCCAATCTTCCATCACCAACTAAACAAGTGCAATCATGAAGAATAAATCGAATAATCACATTCATCACATGGAGTACAGTTTATGACATGTCAAACAGCATACGTTACATATTATTTAAAAGTAGATTTTTACTTACCAACTAATTCTACGCGTGCATCGGTCAAAAGTTCTGGGTGGTCGTGCCGAATATTCTCTTCTGCCATTGCTCGAAGCTCTGGTATATGATCGATTCCAACGGCCACTCCCTGTGGTCCCATCATAAGAGCCATGCATGCTGTCAAGTATCCGGATCCAGAACCAACATCCAATGCCCTTGTGCCGTTACGCAGCTTTTCTTCAAGCAATTCCAGGGCATACGCGTGCTAAAGAATTTCCGTTTGTCTTCCAACTTGTAATTTCCTTTTCAGTGTTTTTTTGTCAGTGCATTCATTTATTTACTACTATTGCAAAAAAAACTTTACTCTTAAACATAACTCTCTTGCAAGTGATTTTTTATCTCATAATGGAAACCGAGTATTAATTTGTAGATATTATTACATGATATTGACAGTTTTATAAAGGACAGAATATAAAGTACATAAAGGAAAGAATACATTGTATTATACCATGTGAGGAGCGCTGATAGTAACGCCATAACCGATTCCTTGTGGTGCATCTATGTAGGCATTGACAGGATGAGTGTATTTTCCTCTGTCCACAGAACTCATTACTTCATATACTCTGTCAGATTTGATCACCCTGGATCCTAAAATGATTTTCTCAAATCATATATATGATTTGAAATATATGTATTATTGAAATATATATATTATTCTGCTGAATGACATAAATAAGAATGCAAAAAATATAATAAAATTGACATAATTGATTATATTCTTTTCATTTTTAATTTCTTAAATAATTTCGTATATATATATATGTATATATATATATATA